AGCAGTCGACAAATTTCTTTTATTATAAATATAGTATTTTTACAGCGAACAGTATTAAAATACTTGGATTTTTGAACTCGTACAATTTACCAGGATGTTTGGATCACCGTTGTTTCATCGTCATTTTTGTTCTCACCCTGCATTACAACTGACAGCTTCTCTATTTTTTCTTATTTCGGGCCTCTCTTACCAATTAATTTCATATAACGGCTTAAGCTGGCCTTACTATAGCATTGGCGATCATTACTGTACTCTTTTAATATTGCATGGGTACCATTTAATAATCCATTACACATTTTACAGACTCAATCCTCTCAGTTGTAGGTAAGCTATCGCCTGAAGAATTGAGGTTGTAAGGCTTTATTTCACCATCGCCGTTTATTATCGATGACAATTTTTCATGGGGAATGTCTCGATTAGGCAGTTCCACTGTTTCATCTGTTCAAAACACGGACTTTCTGTTCAGTCAGTGTCTGTGCGTACGTATTTCTTGAAGTGGAATTCCGTTTCACCCCTTTTCCTTTCCTGACACTGTGAATAAGTAGACAAGGCATGCTCAGTTTGCCGCTCAGATCTGAAGATTACAAAAGCACGATGTTCAGGCTCATATATCTGGAATCCCTCAATTGCGATATCGAATGCTTACAGTGTGCATTATATTGGGAAGGAGGAGATCGAACTACACAGCAACGGGATGGTGCAACTTATCCAGAGGTATAGCTCGTCATTAATTAGCATTAAATTTTGTGGCTCGTTGAACTTTTTTTAGCTTTAAATTCTTTTTAAAATAATATTCAGAATTCCACTTAGTTATTATAATTTCTGCCAGAGTTTTATATTTTGTGAGTGTTTTGGATCCTCGAGGATTTTTCAGCTTTAAAGACTTGATAGAGAAATCCTGGTGAAAAGATTAGAATTGCAGAAAAGGAGGTAAAAAAAGGAAATTTTTATACTATTTTTTTTCATCACGACAGCAGTTCGTCAACAGATTGTCTATCCAGTGATACAGCATTGATCATACCTTTAGAAGCAAGGACGGGGATATTGCTACCAGCGATATCGACGCAAGCTACAGCTTGTTCCTCCACAAACTCAGCACTGTTTTATAGCAGATGGAAAAATTATCAGTTACACAGTTAAGGGAGGCATGAATTGTAGCTAACCAAAATATCAAAATAAAATCCAGCAGATAAATTAGACATGAAATTTTTTGCCGATCGAACACGATTTTTGCTGATGATTTGAGAAACTAACTGCGTACATGAAGTCACATAGCTTGGTCATAATATCTGTGTGTATGGGTTGTTTTTTCTTTTTTTTTTTTTTTAAAATAATATTTGGTGTAAGATAATTAGCAACGCCAGTCGGGGTATAATGCAGTAATCATTTTTTTTTTCTTTAGTGGACTGCTACGGGTTTATTTTGGATAACTTGTGCCAAAAGAATTTTAATTTAATTTGGTCTCTCACAGTAAATTTTTGGACGAATCATCGCATGAAAACACCAAAATTTCAAATTCCCAGTTTGTTTTGATATGTGCTGGTAGCAGTAGCGTCCATCTGAAAAGAAGTCGTAATTTAGAAAGTGCAAAACGTCTATTAAAGTTTTTACGGTTTCAGAACCCATCAATTGCTTGCAGGTTGTCTGTGAAGGGAATGGAAATCAACGACTTGCACGCTTTTCCATTCGATAAACGAAATTGCACACTGATTTTCTTCAACGGTAATTCAAATTCTTTCAAATAATTACTGGCAGTAGTCCCCAATTATCAATAAATGTATTTAAAAAGGTAAAACGAACACTCAGTTGAACTGCGGGTGGTTTCCAGATAGGCTACGTATACATGTCACTCCGAAAAAGTTGACCTGTACATTTAATTAAAAGTGAATCGACTGTTTATACAATCATAATGATGAAATGACAGCCAGTAAAGAGATCTACTCATGATAATCTATTTATTGTGCACTTATGATATTTTATGAATTTAATTATTCACGAATGATAATTTATGAATATTTATGAAATTTATGAATGATAATTATGAATAAATTTATGATAATTTATTAAGAATGCCAATGTTGCCCAGGCAGTCGGTACGGATTTCCCAAATTGGTTTTTTGTTACGATGCTCCCACTGCCAACCCCTTCAGCCCCAAACTGATAATAAATAGCCGCACGCACCAGAGTGGCCAGTGCTATCATGCATTTGTGCAACCTTGACCAGCGAATGCTTGTGCAGCTCTGTCCAAGAGGAATTTGCTGTTACAAGTGTACATTGCTTTGATGCTTGGTATGTGTAGAAATTAACATGGTTCCCTGTTTATTAATTCTGGCGCGAAAACTCTAGCGTTTCCGAACGCGAGAATTAGACGTGTGCTAGGACTGAATTTATAAGCGTTCCAACTCCTGAAATTTCAGCTTCCTAAATTTTTTGGTTCCCGAGCTAGTTAACTGTTGCGCCAATGTGGACGTACGTATGATTAGGCGTAAATGAAGGCAGAATTTAAATTTGCAAAGTTGTACGTGAGCAGGAAATACTATTCTAAAATTTCAACTTCCGACCTTCCTGGCTCTTGAGCTAGTGATTTTCAGCTACTGCATTCTAAAGCGTTCGAATTATAAATGAGTACCACT